CTTATTTGCCCCTTTTCCCATCCCTAAAGTTTATGATCTTTTTTGGTTCATGAGTATCAGCTATTAGTTTCAACCTTTATATCTTAATTTTGTTCGAAAATGGACCCTACAATCTCATTTTTTTCATGCCTAACGATTATCTAACGGTTAATATGAATTTATCATAAAATCATATTTAAGCTCGAAAAATCTTAATTTTTATAATTATCTAGCCATTTAAACTAAAACTCCATCCGTCCCGTTATGATTGTTCCATTTTACCATTTTGGTCCGTCCTACTAAGATTGTCTCATACCTTACTTGGTAAAGTTCGTGTGGTTCTAAATCATTCTTGCATTATTCTTACTTTATCAATTCAATATCAACCACATAAATTCAATTTTATTAATAATTGTGTCACCTTCTCTTATCCCAAACTTAGGGTACGGAGGTAGTAGTTGATACTACGTACGGAGTACTATATTGAACAAAACTAGATTATAAACTTCATTTTCGGTCAAAATATAGAATTGATCCGCAATTTTGTCAGGCAAACCCGGATTGAACACCACTCATCTTTTGATAGGAGTTTTTTTTAAACACATCTTTTGATAGGAGTAATAATTAGCGATATATAGATGCCATTGGTAACATATTATCCGATTATTGGCCACTAGACACTAAACTTCTAAGCGCGAAAAATTAGTACTAATCAAAATAAGTCCAAATTAGTCATATGACTGAGTTATCTAATTTATTGAAAAGAACTACAGAGAATTTTAGTTAACTTTAATATACCGAGTATATAACTACATATTTATTTTTAAACGAAATATATTTTATCTATAATATTTTCATGCATAATGTTCAATCAAACAAACCGTTCCAACCAAAGTTTGAAAAATTTAAATAGATTCCATTGATTTAATCGGTCAACTTGAGTATCAATGAATGCATGATCAAATGAGCTCTTACACAATTTAATACTTTTTGTACACATTGTCCAAGAATTGTATGAATTGAATTTGATCTCCAAATCCAGTGCAGAAAGCAGGGACACGAATTTAGTTTGTAAACCAAACAGAGACTAGAAAGCAAGACTAGCAACAGTTCTTTTTACTTGAAGTCTTACAAAAATGGTGAGGGGCATTAATAGCAAGCATATTTTTTCTTGAATTAAAGCGACAGCCGTATAAAAAAGAGAATTTATCCAAAATAGGACTAAAAATGTTTGAAAATTCCAAAATAGGACTGCCATGTTTTTATTCCCAAAATAGGACTAATTATTGTCATGTTTTGGCAGTACCAGACTTCAAACATGACAGTATTTTCCAAACTTGACAGTAATTACTCCTATTTTGGGAATAAAAATCATGACAGTCCTATTTTGGAATTTTCAAACTTTTTTATTCCTATTTCAGGAACTTTCCCTATTAAAAACAATAAATTGCACCAAATAATAATGTCAAAAATACAATAATTTTGATATGTAACGAACCCTATATCGTGCTTGGGCTTTGAATAGTATACTTATCATAATTAATAAGCATGACCACCTGAGCCATTTGAACAGTGCAAATCACGATCATATAACTGGGATGTGCATTAGGACTCCATTTGACATCGCTTTAATTGATTAAGTGGGTTGAAATGTTGAATGCTTAATTTGGAAATCGTTAAAGCTGTGATATGATTGAGATGACTAAAGTTGTTTTTAATTGAATTGTAATTTTCTAATCTGGTCCGGTTTAAGAATTAAGATATACTCCCTCCATTCTCATATAAAGAGCACATTTTTGTTTTCAAACATTTTTAGGAGGAACACTGTTTATACACGATTTGACACTGTTAAGACACTGTTTGACACTATTTGACACTGTTGTTTGTCAAAAGGGGAAATGTCCTTTTATATTGGGACGGTCCACAAAAGAAAATGTAAAGTTTAAAATGTATTGTACCCGTATTGACAGTATTTTATTGGAAAAGTTTCCAAAGTAGGAGCAAAAATTTCTGACAAACAAAATATGAATGCTATGTTTTGATCCTCGTATAAGATTAAATTAGAGAATATTACCCGAAATAGGAGTAAAAAAGTTTGAAAATTCCAAAATAGAATTGTCATGTTTTCATTCCAAAAAAGGACTAATTAGTGCCATGTTTTATCAGTATCAGACTTCAATCATGGCAGTATTTTCCAAACTTGGTAATAATTACTCATATTTTGGAAATAAAAACATGACAGTCATATTTTGGAATTTTCAAACTTTTTTTACTCATATTTCAGGAACTTTCCCATTAAATTAAGGACAAAGTGTAGGACTAATATTATTTTATTTTAAAAACATGACTCATTCACTAATATTTTGGTAAGTTTTATTCAACCTGTTCTCTTAATAGCACTACATAAACCATATTTAGGAAATAAATCATATTTCGTCAAATTTTAGAAATTTGTCTATGTTTTGATCCTTTATTAAGCCATCTCTATGAATTAAATTACATTTTGAGTTTTTTTTTAATTAAAACTTCTCCTTTTGATACTTCAATACCTATTTTTTTATGATTTTTAAATAGCCTAATAAATATGTTAATTGTCAAAGTCTACCGGCGAGAACAAAATTGTTGATGACGATGATTTTTTGAGACATTTGAATAGTTTTAATGTAACTATTTTTCATAAAGTGAAAATCAAAATCCCTCCAAGTAAACGCTGAGAAAAAAATTCGTCGCAAATTTTGTACTACCTTTTACATGTGGAACGTGAGAGTGATTATTGAACTTTGATGGTGTGGACTTGGGAACGTGATTATTTAAATTTGATGACATTTTTTATTTCTTATTTATTTATTGGAGGAGTTGGTAGGTGTAGTTGCCTGGTCAGCATCGTTGCCAGCATCATCTTCTATTTTTTAAAGTCAAAACAAAGATAACAAAAAACCAAAAAATTCAAAAAGAAAAAGAAAAACAATTTTTTTTAGGGAAAACTATCAAATAGGTCCTCGAACTTTCATAAAAAAGTCAATTAAGTCCTTCTATAGGAGACTTTATCCGGTCGTCGCGATTGGGGGCGGTTCCTAGTAGAATTTTTTGATGAAATCTTTTGAGCATCATATTTATCAAGTCTAGTTTACTCATACCAAATTTCAGCTAAAAATTTAATCGGGAGCGCATTCAAATTAATTCGAGAACACAAAAATGTGGAGTTATCTTCAAGAATTAATTTGAATGTGTTCCCAATTGAATTTTTAGCTGAAATTTGGTATGAGTAAACTAGACTTGGTGAATAAGATGCTCAAAAAATTTCATCAAAAAATTCCACTGGGAACTGCCCCAAATCGTGACGGCCGGATAGAACCTCCTATAGAAGGACTTAATTGACCTTTTTATGAAAGTTCGAGGACATATTTGACAGTTTTTAATTGCATATAGTATAACCGTAGTAGTCTGTAGCCAGGCTCAAGCACTGAATCTGACCCGATTTAGGCCTCGGTGCCGAACCTAGCTAAGAGCAGTTTGTATACCATACAACCGTCCCACCATGAGCACCGTACTCCAACTCCCAAAACGATGTAGTTTTGGACAATTAATAAAAAAAATCGCGTGAACAGTACACGCGTGAACAGTGACTTTTTTTTGTCCCAGTAACATAGATGGTGTAACTCGCGTGTAAAGATATGTATCTCGCGTTATTGATCAATGTAACTCAAGCCCATCCAAAATGTAACTTGTTAAATATCGATTTCAATGTAAATAATGAAAAAAGAGAGTCTAATTACACAATTGTTTTAGGTAAAACGTGAATATGTTTTGTTTTTAATATCATGACTATAAAAAATATTTTTTTTTAGAAAAGAATATTTTTTTGTTTCAATAGCAGGGGTTGAGTTTTTTAAGTAACTCGTGTTATTACAAATGTAACTCACGTTGATGGCAAATGTAACTTGTGTGTATACAGAATGTAACTTGTTGGAAAGTTGAACAATGATTTTTTTGTGTTTGAGATATTATAAACATTGATTTCAATGTAAACAATGAAAAATTGATCCTAATAGCTTAATTACTTTTTATAAATAATGAATATGTTTTATTTTTAATATACGCAATAAAAATGATATAGCTAGAGTTTATTAAGTGGTGTAACTCGCATAAATTAAGATGTAACTCACGTATATTTAAATGTAACTCGCGTACATTAATATGTAACTTGCGCAGAAGAAGATGTGATTTCATTGTCTAGGAGCTGAATGATAGAATATGCTTATTTTGTTTAGATTTATAAACTTTTTGTTATGCATTGATAGAGAATAAAAAGAATAGATTCAATTATTATGTGGATTAATAAAATATGCTTTTTATGTGGTTCAATAAAATATAAAATGTATTACAATACACTTATTTTATGTGGATTAATAAAATTTTGTAATAATTTGGTAAAGAAAACAAATGTAAATTCATTTATATTTTAATTAGTTAAAGATAAAGATGAGTAAAATCACAAATAAATTTTTAGTATTTAATGTTAAAGAGAAAAGAATTAAAGAAAATAGAAAAGAACAATAAAGAGAAATGAAGTACTTACCTGGGAGAAAGAAGACTTCCGTAATTTTTGGGCTTTGAACTTTCGGAAGCATGAGAAAAGCAAAAAATGGTACCGTATTAGCAACCGGCATATCATGCGCATGGTACGCCGGTTGCACCGTATAATTTGCGAGCTAAGAGTACATTGGATAGGCCATGGAATTTGACTTCCACTCCAATTACAACTCAGAAAGTGATTCAATTACATATGGAGTATTAGGGAGCGTTTAGAAAGTGATTTCTTAAAGGGATTTTGAAAGAAGTGGTAAAAGTTGATTGTGTTTTACTCCGTAGAATAGAAGTGATTATAGTAAAATTAACAAAAATTGAAGTGTTTGATAAAAAATGATTTTTAATGTAAAATTTTATCAAAGTACATGAATGCCCTTCTTAAATTAAATGTAAACCCTTTTTGTCTTGAAAGCTATTTCCCAGGAGATAAATGTGGAGCTCGTGTTCTTGTTGGTTGACTTCATCCAAACCGAGTTTCGAAATACATACAACATCGACTTCACATCTACTCAGAGCAGGAATTTTTTGTAGCCAAAGCTAAGCGATGTTTTAGATTCAACAATTTTTAAATTCACAAATTATATCCGAGTGGGCCTCCGCCGACCTGGTAGCCTTCCATGGCTCGCATCAGGATAAGCTGAGTATGTACAACATGTATATATTGAGGAGGAAGGGAGCCACTGAAGTGATGCACTGCGATTAAGAAAGATGAAAACGTACGACGTGAGAGAAAGGGGCATTTTGGGTTTAATTGAAGAAATTGACCATTATAATTTTCCTCAAGGTTCATACTAGTTCCGACCCACTCAACTTTGCCAAGTTGAAGCTATGTGAAGATTCACACGCCTGAGCGGTCGTCTCCCTAGCCATCAGGGTTTGTTGTGCGCAATTTTGCGTCTTTCTTCGACGTCTTCTCTCCGGCATAAAGGATTCTGCCTCCGCGGATTCTGCTTGTTTCAGTTTTTGGTGTTTTTCCGTTTTTCTTTTTTCAATTCGCAGGTGAAGTCCTCTGCTTCGGTTCATGGGTATCGAGAGGGTAGCGTGGGTTGCTGATTAGTCGAGTGTGCCACCTGCAACTCGAACGGATTTTGGTCGGTATGAATACTCTGCTTCGAGTATTGCACGATGCTTAGGTGTGCTGTAGGTTTGATCGAACGTTGCAAGACATCGGCTCGGTTTTGTGACAACATGATGCTCAGAGGTGATGAGGGATATCTGATTCAGGACGAGGTGATTGCTGGCAAGGAAGAGGCTCCGAACAGGAGTCTACGGGCGAAGGAAGATGAAGAGGTGTTGATCCGTCCCCTTCCCGAGCCGCCGCCATGGAGGAAGTGTGCGACTAGTGTTTGGACGGCTAGTTCTATTTCTGTTTTACTCTGTTTATGTTTTTACTTCGAACCACATGTTGTTTTGTTTGTCATGTACGCTTATTTTTGTCAGACTCTTACATCAGGTGGAGGTGATGAGAGGTTTGCTCTGGCCACGTTAGGCTCATTTAGACCCACTATAGGATCAACGAATCTTATTGCTCTGCCTAGGGTGGTTGATTCTCCAGGTGGTTTGAGGGTCGGTGGTTGGAAGTGTTTCCCTTATCGTTTGTGTCCCTTGCTGAATGTTTTATTATCAATATAAGCCATCATGAGTCCCTGTTTCAAAAAAAAAGTTGAAGCTATGTGAAAAATAATAATAGTAAAAAGTATGCATGTGATTGAGGTTTGTGCAGAGGAGAGAGAAATGAATAGAATCACAAATTCATTGCTTTAAAAGGAAAATAACAAAGTTTTTTGGGACAAACAAAAAAGGAAAGTTGGCAAAGTCCAATGAGACGAAAGGAGTGTTATTATTATTTACATAAAAACCTAGAATCAGCTAGCAGCACCCCGTCATTTAAGTACTTAATTTCATTAGAATCAGACATTTGAAAACACCGATTTCAACCTTTTTTTTAACAAAAAGCTGAAACACTTTTTTTTAATAAACACACTCCCGGCCTTATTATAGTCTCGTATGTGATTTTTATAAACACTTACTTGTCCACCTTTATATTTTCAAAATTAAATTAAAAATTAATTTATAATGTTACATAACATATCCATAGTATATCATCATCATCATCATCACCATCTTCATCCTAGTTAGGGCTGAGCAAAACCCGATCCGACCCGAAAAACCCGATATTTTTTTTCGGATATTATCCGAACCAAAGTGGATATCCGACCCGAAAAACCCGAAACCGAAAATCCGATTAATATTGGGTCTAGATCGGGTTGCGGGTAGGGTTTGTAAAATCCCAACCCGACCCGCCCGAATATCCGAAATATATGTTAGTGTGTACTTTGAATATGGTAAATTAATACTTGCATCCAATTATTTGTGTAATTAATCTAATTATATTGTGCAATTTGTATTAAATTATTTGTGTAAATTGAATGTGTAGTGCACTAGTGTGTATAATTTTTGTCAAAGTGGCATTCCAACACATTAATTATCCAATTATAATGTGTTTTAATATAACCGAAATATTCGAAGTATATTAAATCATGTAACGTGTACTTTGAATATGTTAAATTAATACTTGTGTTCAATTATTTGTGTAATTATTTGTGCAATTTGTGTTAAATTATTTGTGTAATTTGGATGTTTAGTGCACTAGAGTGTACAATTTTTGTCAAAGTGGAATTTAAACACTTTAATTATTCAATTATATATTTTTTTTAATATAACCGAAATATCCGAAACCCGACCCGATATCCGATAATATCCGACTTAAAAATATCCGAAATACCCGATCCGAAATATCAAAGGGTCGGGCCTAGTATTTAAATTAAAAAACCCGAACGGGTTTAGGGTTCACAAACCCGACCCGCCCGAACCCGACCCGTGCACCGCCCTAATCCTAGTGCTTCAACTCACTTGCTGTGGCGTAAGGAAGAGTCAAATATACGCAGCCTTACCCCTATACTAAAGTACAAAGAGACTGTTTTAGGATGACATATGGTGAAATCGTGTCGAAATTACATGGACTGACTACTGTTTCACAATAAAGAAGTGCAAACAGTTGTGTGATCCATTTTTCTTTATTACGGGGGTGTTTGGAACTGATTCTGCTTCTGCTTCTTTTTAAAAGAAGAAACAGAATCAGAATCATTTTTCAGAAGCTGGTCACCCCCAACTTCTAAAAAAACTGATTCTAGGAGTAAATTTGAATGCTAGAATCACTTCTGGACTTTCACCCAAATACTCCGGCTTCTGCTTCTGCTCCCTCAGGGAGCAGAAGCAGTTTTAAGAATCACTTCCAAACACCCCCTACATCATATTCTCAAGGCAAAAGATAGTGAATCTTTCGGCAAATGATGGAAAAATAGTTTATCGTGATGAATTATTATAGTTAAGTTCATTCTTAAGAAAATGATACTATCTCCATCCCTTTAACTTCGGGACATGAAGAGATTGAATTGATACATTTATTAAGAAAAGTGAGTTTATGTGGAGTGGTTGATATTGAATTGATATAGTACAAATGATTTAGAACAACACAAATATTACCAAATTGATGCATGACAATCTTAATGAGATGAAGTGAAAAAAAGTCGAGAAAATCATAGAACGAGGGAGAGTGTATCTAATACTAATGAAAAGCTAGACTGTGGAAACTATATTTTAGTCCAAGTCTTAATGCGAGATTCCCGTCAAATCTGCCTGATTAATGAATTGTAATCTAGCTTTTCTATAGATTTGTGTATGTGCAGGGGCGTAGCCAAGACACTATGCCGGTACAAAATTTACACTACACAAAAAACACGAGATTGTTAGTAATTGTTGATAAAATACGTCAAAATTCATACAAAATTTGACAGAGAGAAACAAATCCCGTAATTGTTTTTATAGTGTTAAATATATATACATTTAGACGAGTACAATTTTTTAGACAGATAATTAAAGTGTTTAGCCCGGCTCCGCGAGTGTGTATGTGTGCGTCAGTAAATGTTGAGTGGTTGAACAAGATTAAATGTATGGTAATTGCATGAGCTCAAATTATTGGCACATGAGCATATCCGCATGTGCCTGAATATAATTTGGCAGAAGTGTGGATCGGATTGGCGTAGCCGGTAGGGAACAAGAATAGAAAAGAGTTAGTGAAAGTCGCAATCCGGCCTCATAGATAAATTCATAATATAATAATATACGTGGTTTAATTTATGTAGCAGTAATGTAATCCTTTGTGTCCGGAAGCCACAAAGAAAAGTAGTGAACTGATAATGGAAAGTTAGGAGTGATGTGAGGGGAAGGGGGGCTGATGAGGAAATTAAACAAAGCTTAATTTGGCTTCTTCTACAGTTCTACCTTGTTAGAATAGTAGTAGTGGAATCTGATGTATTTTAGTGAGTGACAGTACACTTTGTCGCCTTGTTGGAACTAGCTAATCCATATTATAGCTTACTATAAGACCAATTGTTAGTTGACTATTTGGTGATTATCCATTTCTACTTTCTTTTTATTTATTTAATGCGGAGAGTTAGTTCGAAAGAGTGGCAAAAATATAACCGGAGGGGTTTTAATGGACAAAAATATGACCATTTTAAACCTGGACAAAAAAGTAATCCCTTGAAACTGAAATGTTACATTCGCGTTCTATCTACGAACTTCTCTCTTCGCACTGCTCCCCTGCGGACTTCCTCTCCGCTGGACTGCATCGCTGCACAGGCCGTTGCTTCTCCGCCTCTTCTCATCGCACAGGTCGATGCTTCTTCAATTCGCTCGCCGCTTGTCCATCTCACCATGCTGCTGCGACCAGCAAGTGACCAGTTGGTTCAGGATAGTGGCAGCTAGGGTTACTAGGGCAAGTAGGTGGCGGATGGATGGACAATCAGATCTTCTGGCGCCCAACTGGCAGGGGCGATGGCAGCGACTAGGGTTTCTGGTGGTGCGGTGGCAGTGGCTAGGGTTTCTGGTGGATGGACCTGTGACGATTTTGCAGGGGATTTGGGCTTGGGAGGGGGTCGATGGGCAGGGGGCTGGTGCGCAGGGGAGGGGGGGGGGGGGGGCAGATGGCGGCGGCCAGGATGATGCGATGGCGGCTGGAGTTTTTGAGACGACAACTGAAATATCTTTGCGAGGAGTAATTGTGTGTCATTGTGGCGTTTTGAATGCAAAAATGTTACTGCAAGTTGTCACTACAGAAGTGTCATTGTGAACGGCGGTGGTGAAGAAGTTACAGTGTAGATGTCCAAAGGTTGGGGCGGGGATGTCACTCTGGAGGTCACTGTGGCGATGGCGGTGGTGATCGATGACAGTGGCGTCGTCAGTGACACGGGCTACGATGACTGCAGTGATATTCGATAATGACATGAAATTTGGACAGTGACATGAATATTTGAATGTCACTTTATTTTATTCACATTTTGTCCAAATGTAAATATGGTCACATTTGTGGAAATTAACTTTAGTTTAGTAATATTCACGAAAACCCCCAATTACTTTAGAACTTTAGATTGCAAATTGGTACACTTAAATTTTTACATAAGTTCTTACTTTAATTGGGATGTTAAGACACGGGGTTCCATCCTAAAAGGTCAACCTGTTAGGAGGAGTAGCCCGAAGCTTAATATAGCACTCTAGTGCTTCTCAATTTTCCGGTGTGGGACATTTAACACCCCTCCTCACGACCAGACACTTCGTCTGGATCGTGTCGTCATTCATTTTTTCATCGGTTCATCAATTTTTTTTTTATCGTGTTGTCATTTTTCATAAGGGGCCCCACACCATAGATCGATTTGGCTCTGATACCATGTTAAGACACGGGGTTCCATCCTAAAAGGTCAACCTGTTAGGAGGAGTAGCCCGAAGCTTAATATAGCACTCTAGTGCTTCTCAATTTTCCGGTGTGGGACATTTAACATGGGATGTCTCCAAATCATCCGAATTCCCTCTTTAGGTTCTTTTGAGTTAAAATCTTAAATTTAGACGATTATTCCTGAACTCGATATGATCCCAAGAAACTTATGATCCGAATTTCGAGCCGCTTGAGTAATCTTTCAGGCTCACAACACGTATGTAGGGCTGGTTCGGTATGGCATACCGAAATTTTTACGCCATACCGCATACCGTACCGAAAAACCGGTATTTGTAAAAGTCATACCATTACCGTACCGAAAATTTCGGTATACCGAATTTCGGTATACCGAAAATTCGGTACGGTATGTGGCCCATACCGTTTTATACCGAAAAACCATAACACTAAACTTGTAAAATGATTCCGTAGAAAGCATCGGCATAAAAGGCCTACCGAACATCCAAAAAAACTGATTTTAATATGTCGAAATAGTATACGACATCAATTACATAAGCTTTTGCCAAAACTAAAACAAAATATTTAATCCAAAGTAGAAAATACTAAAATTATGCGCTACTATCTCAAGTCTCAACACAATCCATCTGCCAACTGCCAACGTTACAGTGATTGCATATTCATATGCTTTGAATGCTCCCATCTGCAACTTTCTTGAACCTTTGGCACAATGATTCCAATAAATACTCCTCGTTTTAGGTGCTACAGGAAGCTTTTCTTTTTAAGATTCACGTGTTCGCTTCCGACTAGAAGTACCATTCTCTGTTTCAGATTCAATCTGGACTGGGCAGCGAGTGAGATGATCCAGATTCCATTAACAATGCTGAAAATGTAACAAATATCATGTTAATCAATCTGAAAAATGACATTGACAAATTAT